AAGGGGAGGCAGAGGGATCAGTAGTGCCAGGAATACAGCTTTGTATTCCTGCTACTACAGTACTACACTATCCCTTTAAGCAGATACAGTGAAGCAAGACTAAACAATTAGGGACCAAGTGAAATGGGGCTTGTGGGACACAGTGACAAAGGAGTGAGAAATGGGATGCAGAGGGACAAATGATAATAGGAGATTTGGGGACAAAGTGACAAGGAGTAGGAGCCTGTAACCCCATGTCACTCTGACACCTTAATGCCCTGACAGGGGATACAGAGTATAATTCAAAAATTAAATATAATTTTTCTTTAAAAACTTACCCCATTCAAGTGCTGACAGCCAGGTCTATAGTGAGGTGGATCTGAGGAGACTGCAGTCTGCAGACACTCGAACACTATGGGGAGCAGTCTAGCACGCAGAAGAGGTCACTGTTCTCCTTCCAGCCAGGTAAGTCTGCTGTCTTCTTCTGCAGGACTTGGACAAGATGGAGGCAGAGGGAGAGGACGGGCAGCGGAAGTCTGGCCCCCTACTCACTGTATGATATTGCACTCCGCCATACTGGAGCCTGCCTGGGCCTGTCTGCTTCCCTTTCCTCCCTGTCTCACTCCCTCTCTCTGCACTTCACATCTGTGCCAGGCGGGCTCCAGTGTATGGGCGCCGCTATATTGGAGTCAGCCAGCAGGGGGACCCCGTCCCTGCCAGCATCGGACCGCAGGGGACTCTGGGGGAGGTGAAAGTCGCGCCCCTCCTGACATCATCAGGAGGGTGCGGGCCCGGGCGGCACTGTACAGACTTCACCTCCTCCGGGATCGGACCGTCTGTGGAGGGAACCAGCCTGGAGAGGTAGGCTGCGGGTGGCTGTATAAAAATTTTTGCGCCCCCTCTGCTTGGGCGCCCTAAGGCAGCCGCCTGGGCTGCCTTATGGATGCGCCGGCCCTGTTTCTATGTAACATAGACCAGCTGACGGGCCCAAGGAGTCCCTTGAATCTTTGTTCTGGGAAAATAAAGAATAGAAATAGAAATGTTTCTTTATTTCTCCTCTACTCTGCATGCTCTCTAAGCTGACTGCCAGGTGCAAAGGACAGCACCTATAACAATGATTAACAGGGAGCTATGATGTAAGCGCCCAATTGCAGGATAAAGCAGTAGTGTACATTTTTCAACATCAAATTTTATTTTATTTTTCTCCTGTCACAAACACATATTTGATAAATATAGGGATAAGTAAACATAAACATCCAGGTGACGGTGACAGACCCCCTTTAAAGGCTGGTGCAAAAGCATTCAATTTGTCATTTTCTTTTCTTTTTTCCAATAACTAACACAGCTGTCATATTGTGATAACTATAATAGTACCGTTTCAGTTGTACTGCAAATCAGATATATATTTATGCTGCAGACACACTGTTGTGATACAAAGTACTGAAAAGAAACTATTGCAAATATATGTCTTGCACAACATTTAGCAGTTTTCTAACTTTATTCAGACAGTGACAAATCATTCTGTTTCTTCCGGTTTGCTGTGATTAATAAACTAGCTGACAATGATCTGTTGCATTTTCTATGTAGGCACCAAGATATGTGGGTGAATAAATGAATAGAGAAGTGATCAAATGAACCACTACACTGAGTCACAAATCAAACGTCATTTACAATACAGGACTTGACGTTTAATTGTACCTTTTGTTAAACTCATGTTTTTACCATGTTGTGTCTTGTACATGGAAACTCTTACAGCATTCCAGCTTATTTTTATTTTCTTATAAAATATTTTGCTTTCCGATAGTTGTATGTACAGCATGTGCAATCATCCAGAGCATGTATATGTATGCTATATTTATTTGTTGTAATTTAGTTGTGAATACAAAGGAGAACAGACCTGGGGGGAAATAAAATTACTGTAAATGACAGAATTTTATTTATTTATTTTTTTAAGTTTGTGAAGACGTCTCACATTTAAAGGAACAGTTAACCCTTGATGTCAATGCATATAGGAGCTATACACTAAGCAGAAGTTTGTACATTAACAAAATTAACCAAAAATTGAGGAATTATAAAAATAAAATTAAAAATTAAAAATTTCAACTCCTCTATATATGAAATGTATTTATTATACATGGAATCAACAACTGAATCGAAAAATAGCCAAGCTATGACATCTGAGCTGGAGAATTTTACCAAAATCAGCCATATTTGGCTTATATTTTTCCCATTCAAATCATTACAATTTGCTGTTTGGTGAGTAAATCACCTATTTAGTACCTCATTATCTGAAATTGTTAACGTAGGTTGGAGCAAAGATAAGAAATCTTGGGAAATTATAAAGTTCTTCTGCTGTATTCCTGTCTCTCCTTGCTACATTAGGTACTTCAAATGAAGAAAAAGGTTAAAAACAAAAAAAATGCAAGATGAGCAGACATCATCCACCCACGAGGGCTATTAGGTCCATGTATAAAAAGCTTCAGCAGCACTCAGGGGTAGGCTGGGATGGGGGGCAGGGAGGCAGGCCACCCTAAATCCAGGGCCGTCGCTACAATAAGGCGGCACAGACGGCCACCTTAGGGAGCACCGGCCCGGGGGCGCAAATATCCGAGTGACCAGCAGGAGGGAAGCGCACAGTGCTCCTCTCCTGCCGGTCATTTCTTATAGCGTGGCTGAGCGCCAGTACCTTGGCTGCCCGGCACATAGTGTCACGCGCCCCCTAGTGGTGCCTGGGCTGGAATGTGACATCATAATCCGGCTCCCAGGACCTATACAGGGCGCGCAAGGGAGCTATACAGGACATGCTGATATATAACGGAGCTCCCTCTGAGGAACAGAGAGGCAGCATACTGGACCCCAGGATGCACTCCAGCTCTCCAGGTAGGGAGAATGGGTGTATAGGTATAGATGTGTAAAAAACGTATAACTCAAAATGTATTTCTACAAAGAATTTTCTATAAATATAATATAGCGGTTACAGCTGCCACCACACTGAATGTGCAAATCTCCAAAACACCACACAATCTAGTACAATATATAATGGTCAGGGCAGGAAATAGTGTACGGCCGAATGAAGATCTGACATGCAATGCCACCCCTTACTAATTAGGGAACAGCAACAGCTGTGAAGAGGGACGGAAAGAAGATCTTTAAGAAACAGGAATCAAACAAGTCACATTCAGGAGACTGAGGAAGCCGTGATAACGGTGAAACGCGTTTCTCATCTGCATGTGGACTTTTAAGTCAAAGACTGGTAGTTATATTTATTGCTTTTTATTGTTTTTATATTGTATCAAATAAAATTGTATATACTTCTACCTAACGGATTCCTGTGGTGCAAAGAAGGGAGTGTAGCCCTTAACTACACCAAGCCGTTTTACTGAACCAGTTCACAGGCTCTACTCTTGTGAGTATAACATCTCTATTTACTTGTTATATATCCAAACGGAACTTCACTATATTTTGTGTATCCATTTTCCCGAGATACCAAGGGACCCTATATATCTATCCATTGGAAAAGGGGAGGGGTCGCCCTAAACAGACTCTCAAGTGCTTCATACCAGAGCTAGGTTTTTATAGCTCTGGAACCTGTGAGTGTTCCCTTATTATTTAAATATCACAACCATAAGTGTTTAATAGTTTGCACTATGTACACTTTATTTTTGTCTTAAAGGTACCACCACAACAGAATACACATATCTGTATATAAAGCTAAGTGTCTATTCAAGCTTATCACCAGTACTGCATGTGGTGTAATACAATTATAAATAAGCACTCCACTGTTCAATTATATAGGGAGTATGTGTACTGTCCCTATCCCCCTTCCAGCATAGCCCAAGTCCCTCACAATGCTTCCCCACCACCAACAATACTGTCCCTCTCCCCCTCCCACCATAGCACCAATCCCCCACAATACTGTCCCTATCCCCCACCAACCATAGCCCTTGTCCCCCACAATGCTTCCCCACCCCCCACAATACTGTTCCTATCCCCCTCCCACCATAGCCCAAGTCCCTCACAATACTTCCCCACCACCCACAATACTGTCCCTATACCCCTCCCACCAAAGCCCCAATCCCCCACAATACTGTCCCTATCCCCCACCCACCATAGCCCAAGTCCACCACAATGCTTCCCCACCCCCACTATACTGTCCCTATTCCCCCCAGTATAGCACCATTCCCCCACAATGCTGCCCCACCCCCCAAAATGCTAACCCCACAAACCACAGTCCCCCACCACACTGCCCCAACTCCCCACACTACTGTTCCTACCACCCCCCACTATAACCCTAGTCCCCACAATGCTGTCCTGCCCCAATACTGTTCCTATCCTCCCACCATAGCCCCAGTACCCCACAATACTGCTCTTGCCCCCACTAAAGCCCCAATCCCCCACAATACTGTCCCTATCCCCCTCTCACCATAGCACCAGTCCCCCACAATGCTTCCCTAACCCCCCAAAATACTGTCCCTATCTCCCTCTCACCATAGCACCAGTCCACCACAATGCTCCCCTAACCCCCCACAATACTGTTCCTATCCCCCCCAGCATAGCCCCAATCCCCCACAATACCATTCCTATCCCCTCACTAATGCCCCAATCCCTCACAATTCTGCCCCTATCGCACCACACTAAAGCCCCATTCCCCACAATACTGTTTCCAATCCTACCACTAACGCCCCAATCCCCCACAATAAGGCCCCTATATCCCATACTAAAGAATGAATGCCCCACAATATGGCCCCTGTCACCCCACATTAAATAATCAATCCCCCACAATATGACCCTTGTCTCCACACTAAATAATCAATCTGCCACAATATGACCCCTGTCACCATCACAATCAAGCCCCAATCCCCCACATTACTGGTCCTACCCCCCGCCCCCACTAAAGCCCTACTGTACAGCACTACAGAATTTGTCTGCGCTATATAAATGATAATAATAAAGTCCATAACCCTCACACTAAAGCACAGTGACACAGAAAGATGCTGGTGATGAAGTAAGAGACACAATGGGGTGTAAGACACATTCCCTTTAGTGTATTATATTCCCCGTTTAGTGTAACACACAAACAAATGGGTTCACATTCAAGAGGCAAATATAAAAAAACTATAAGGGGGTAAGGAATTCAAAAGAGGCGTTATGAAGCACACAGGGGAAGATACATTTTTTGGGAGGACGGCAAAATGCATCTTCGTCTGTGTAGTCAAAAATCCTTGTACCGGCCCTACCTAAATCATATTAAAAACGGCCGCTGTAGACCCGGCAATCCCCACTATGTCGAAGGTAGCCACACTAGTCTCCACAACACTGGAATACAAAGTGATAATGTGGAACCAAACAAAAACGGGTAAAGGGAGCGCCACAGCAAAAGCGATGTGGACAACGTACATTGAGAACAAGGCAACCACTGACTTCGCTAGGACCAGTTGAGGAACAGAGTAACACAACTAGACACACAAAGTTAAGTGAGTACATACCAGTTACCCCAGTTATACCCCCTTCAAATCCTTCTTGCCCTGTGGGTAGATTCCCAGCAACAGGATACACTCCTCCTATTCGTAATGGGAAGAGCCCCAAGGCCAAGCCAGACCCCCTCAGATAACCCATGTGTGCGAGGGTGCTGTATGTGTGTAGGTGCTGTGTGTGTGTGGGTGCTGTTTGTGGGCTGTAGGTGCTGTTTGTGTGTGTGTGTGCTGTATGTTTGGGTGAAGGTGGGGGCAGATAAGTTAATATCCCCGTCCTGCTGCCTTCCGTGGTGGTTCAGTGGAGAGTTGTGGGAGGTGGGGTTCTCTGCTGCCTCCCTCCATGCTGCTGTGGATTGGTGAGGTAGATCTTTGATCTCCCCACCGGCCCATGGAGGCTTAGACCAGAGCCGCTGCTCGGATAGCGTCGGCTCTGCATGAGCCTCCCAAAAATTTCTGGGCCTGGGAGATGATTGCGTTAAAGACCGGTAAGTTAATTATCTCCTAGGAACAGAGAGGCAAACATAAAAATATAAAAACATAAAAATGGGGCTCATCACTCCCTACACACATCTGACCAACACTACACACAGCAGGTATACACCAAATACCCAGCACGCACTGCACATATTACACACAGCCTACACATGCATTACACTCAGCCTTCACTCACACTCACTATGGGGGGACAGAGGGTGAAACACTCTGGGGTATTCTCTAAACCTTTCACCAATTCTTAGTATTTTCATAATTTCAATTAAATTTGAATGGAAAAAAACAAGGTAAAAT